CAGCGGCGAAGTGCGATGAGCCGGCGGCAACACTGAGCGGGGACGGCAAGCGCAGGCTGCGGCGATTTCATGAGGTGGAGAGGAGGGGGGAGGTGATGGCGAGGATGACGTCGAGGGCTTAATCGATCTCCGGAGGCGGCGATGAACCTGAGGGCTGAGCTCGAATGCCGTCGGAGGCGTGGCTGATGACGAGGGGTGAGCTCGATGGCGAGGACGAGTAGACGGCGATGACCCGGCGGCGACGCTCAGCTGCGGTGATCTCGGGCGCTGGAGAGGAGGAGGGGAGGTGATGGCTAGGGCAAGGGGACGGCGGCGACTATATATATATATATATATATATATATATATATATATATATATATATATATATATATATATATATATATATATATATATATATATATATATATATATATATATATATATATATATATATATATATATATATATATATATACCCTTTAAAAGAGGGAGTTCCTAAAAAACTTTTCCCTCCCCAAATTAACCTTCAACCAATTTAAAAATACCCGAATTATCCCTTATCATCATCATCATCATCGTAACTCAAAAGCCCCAAATTTATTCGTCGGTTACGCCTTTCTCTACGCTCCATTATCATCATCATCATCAGAAATCTAGAAACCCTAAATTTTCCGTAGGTTACGCCTTCCTCTCCGCCCACCAGTTCATCGGTTACGCTTCACCTCAGCCGAACTCCTCAGTTCATCGGTTACGTCATCACACGATCTTTAAGTCCTCTATTTGCAAAGATGAGTATTATTGCCCTAATCATCAACGACACGCCTCTGCCATCATCTCCTCAGTTCTCAAAATTTTGCCATAGTTTAGGATCAGGAAGGAATTTCATTGAAGAAGGTATTTCTAAAATTTACCTATGATTTTTAAATTTAAAACGAATTCTACCTATGATTTGAAGAAGGTTTCTTCTTGGTCTTCAATCTGCTATACAAAACCCTAACTCTAATCGTTAGTTCTGCTCAATTCACCCTCTCCCCTTTCATTTTGCTCTAATCGTTTGTTTCAAGCGACGAGGGATTCAATATTTGAACAACAACTGTATCGAGATTAGAAAGTAAGTTGAGTTGAGTTCATTTCTGTTATACTTATTTTACAGGTTATGATTTCGGTTTTGATTTCTTGGTTAAATTAGATCTAATTTCAATTCGGACATTCACCAGTTCCTGTTCTGTTCATCCCTGGAAACGGGGGAAGCTACAAGCAGGTAAAAATCCTTTCTTGATCCATTTCCTTCTTTGATAATAGCAATTAGTTGTTTGCAGTCCTGTTTCAGCACAAAAATTTGAACTGCTTAGAAAGTGGATAGTCTCATATACGTTTGTTATCGGGTCTAATTAGCAATTTATTTGGACTATACAGCACACTTTTATTTTACCCTTCTTAGGCAACAGTGAGCTGATACTCTATGGAAGCAGAGGGGAAAATCTATCTTTTGTCATATTAGAGCAACCTGTCAATGCATTCGAGGACTTTGTATAGTGATCCAAGTCTCCGATTATGACCTGAAGGAATAAAGATGCTTGATGTCTACATTGAGTGCAGCAGACATTTAGTTGTAGTTGGGCATTGTTTTCACATGCCTAAAATAAAATAATAAAAATTTGGTAGACCTTTCATTGGTTTAGGAGGTTTCAGTTCCAAAATTAGGTGGTAGAGAATGTTGATGCTATTGTATTGGAAATCTGATAGACATAGCAACAAGCCATGTTACCTTGTCATGTTATTGTTCGCATATCTTCCCTTCACAACATGCCACTGTCAGTTTAACTTATCAGCCCTCTCTTTCCTATCAAAATCTTTCATCCTTCTTTATTTTACTTTGACCAACACATTTTAAATGGTAGATAGATTAAATCTCAGGCGTGAGTGTTACTTTTTATAGGATGGAAATTTGAATGGGTGGAGGAATCATTCTACATGCTTAGAGCAGAATTTCTTGTTTGTTTACAAACTTATCTCATCAGAAATGTTCACTTAAGAAAAAAGTTAGTTATAGGTTCATAATCCTTGATAAAAAGCATACCATCTAGGTATGCTGCTCTGACGGCTTGATCCTGTAGTTAAATGGTGCCATGGTCGGCAAATCACATCTATCATAAGGAATGTGTTTAATTGGCTAACTCCCAATCATGTGGCTGCCACATTTGGCAAGGGAAAAAGAAGAAATGACATACACTTTTAATTGGCTAACTCCCAATCATGTGGCTGCCACATTTGGCAAGGGAAAAAGAAGAAATGACATACACTTCGATTGTTATCCCTTTGTAATCCGCCTTCTCCTTGTAACTAATCAATCACGAGGCAATTAGATTTGGGTGTTAGGTGTAGGCTTGTTTGAAATATTACTTTAAACTTCTTGCATGTCATTATTCTCTGTTGGCACTGCTCTTATTTTCTTTTTATTTATACTTTGTAGTATATCATATGATGCTGAAGACTTTACGTGTTTGAGCCAATTATATTATCTTTACGTCAAGAAATTATGTGCATCTTCTGTAAATAGGTTTCTGAGACTTGGTTAACTAGAAAATTTCATGAAACCATGCATATTAATATATGCGTATAACGATAGGATGTAAATTGTAATATGCATGAGCCTTCTTAGTAAAGATCAAACGCAGTAGCCTTAATTCTCTCCCTTGGTTGGAAATGGAATGCTATATCTAGATCACACTATTTGTATTAATTGATTGTGGCCATATAGACTAATTTGCACACTATGACTGGCATTTATACTACATTGTAAGCAGACATTGACACTTAAGCATAAATATGTACAATGCATTTGTACTAATTGATGGGTTTGTTGTCTACTGTTCGTAAGAAAGTAAGTTGAGTTGAGTTCAGTCCTGTTATACTTATTTTACAGGTTGTGATTTCAGTTTTGATTTCTTGGCTAAATTAGATCTAATTTCAATTCGGACATTCACCTGTTACTGTTCTGTTCATCCCTGGAAATGGGGGAAGCTACAAGCAGGTAAAAATCCTTTCTTGATCCATTTCCTTCTTTGCTAATAGCAATTAGTTGTTTGCAGTTCTATTTCAGCACAAAAATTTGAACTGCTTAGAAAGTGGATAGTCTCATATATGTTTGTTATCGGGTCTAATTAGCAATTTATTTGGTCTACACAGCACGCTTTTATTTTACCCTTCTTAGGCAACAGTGAGCTGATACTCTATGGAAGCAGAGGGAAAATCTATCTTTTGTCATATTAGAGCAACCTGTCAATGCATTCGAGGACTTTGTATAGTGATCCAAGTCTCCGATTATGACCTGAAGGAATAAAGATGCTCAATGCATTCGAGGACTTTGTATAGTGATCCAAGTCTCCGATTATGACCTGAAGGAATAAAGATGCTTGCTGTCTACATTAAGTGCAGCAGACATTTAGTTGTAGTTGGGCATTGTTTTCACATGCCTAAAATAAAATAATAAAAATTTGGTAGACCTTTCATTGGTTTAGGAGGTTTCAGTTCCAAAATTAGGTGGTAGAGAATGTTGATGCTATTGTATTGAAAATCTGATAGACATAGCAACGATCCATGTTACCTTGTCATGGTATTGTTCGCATATCTTCCTTTCACAACATGCCACTGTCAGTTTAACTTATCAGCCCTCTCTTTCCTATCAAAATCTTTCATCCTTCTTGCCACTGTCAGTTTAACTTATCAGCCCTCTCTTTCCTATCAAAATCTTTCATCCTTCTTTATTTTACTTTGACCAACACATTTTAAATCTCTTTCCTATCAAAATCTTTCATCCTTCTTTATTTTACTTTGACCAACACATTTTAAAGGGTAGATAGTTTAAATCTCAGGCGTAAGTGTTACTTTTTATAGGATGGAAATTTGAATGGGTGGAGGAATCATTCTACATGCTTAGTGCAGAATTTCTTGTTTGTTTACAAACTGACGGATTGATACTGTAGTTAAATGGTGCCATGGTCGGCAAATCACATCTATCATAAGGAATGTGTTTAATTGGCTAACTCCTAATCATGTGGCTGCCACATTTGGCAAGGGAAAAAGAAGAAATTGCATACACTTCGATTGTTGTCCCTTTGTAATCCGCCTTCCCTTTGTAACTAATCAATCACGAGGCAATTAGATTTGGGTGTTAGGTGGAGGCTTGTTTGAAATATTACTTTAAGCTTCTTGCATGTCATTATTCTCTGTTGGCACTGCTCTGTGGGACAAGGTTATTTTCTTTTTATTTATACTTTGTAGTATACCATATAATGCTTAAGACTTTACGTGCTTGAGCCAATTATATTATCTTTACGTCAAGAAATTATGTGCATCTTCTGTAAATAGGTTTCTGAGACTTGGTTAACTAGAAAATTTCATAAAACCATGCATATTAATATATGAGTATAACGATGGGATGTAATATGCATGAGCCTTCTTAGTAAAGATCAAACGCAGTAGCCTTAATTCTCTCCCTTGGTTGGAAATGGAATGCTATATCCAGATCACACTATTTGTATTAATTGATTGTGGCCATATAGACTAATTTGCACACTATGACTGGCATTTATACTACATTGTAAGCAGACATTGGCACTTAATCATAAATATGTACAACGCATTTGTACTAATTGATGGGTTTGTTGTCTACTGTTCGTAAGAGATGAATCAGCAGAATAGATCAAATTTATCTATACATATAAAGTAACTGCTTCGTAGATTTAATTGGGTAAAGTCAGGTCCATTATATGATTCTTACAATTGATATTTTGTTGGTGAGAACTGAGAAGATATATTTGCTTCGATTCCTGATAGAATCCCATTATACTCAAATACTCCCAAATCTTCTTAATCTTCATTACTTCTTTTAATGCACAAATTATATTGTTCCTAAAGTTGTTTTATTTGTGGATGATTCAGCTAATTCCTACTTCATTGCCACGTAGCGAAAGGCGGAGAAAGTACTTATCAGTGAAGGTAATTTGTTCCTCTTCATAATGTGTGTTTGTTCATGCTCTTTTTACATAGTTCAGTTTTATAGAAACTTTCACATAGGCTCATCTTGGTATCTATGTGGTTGGATATATGCTAGGAAAGAATGACACTATGACAGATTAGTTAGTCTTAACCTGCTAAATAACTTTAGGTGATGTAAGATTATTGATTCAGTGCAAATTATTAACCAAACCCACATAATACCTGGCACAATGGAATAAAAAAGGCCCTGGTAAACGAAAAGAAAGAACTTGAGAGGTGTAGTGCATACATTGCTGTATAGAATTACATTTCACGGTTTTAATAGGATTAGTGACAAATAATATATAAATTCAATAGGATCTAATCTTTTCCCTAATACTCGGGTAATATATATTTTAATGAATTTGAATTCAAATTGTTCATTATTGAAACAAGAAACAAAGAAGAAATGAAAGGTGAGAAAATGTCATATAATGGGAGTGGTACCATCATTTTTTCCACGGTTTGTCGAGTCTTTGGATCCAAATCAGACAATTTGCTAGACTCGGTTCAACTTTCTGAGTATCAATTTCAGGATTATCTTTCACCAAACACTTCCACCACTCCATTTGATTTTGCTTGGTCAACAGTATAGAAATGGCCTTCCCATCCTCTATAAAGTTCAATATATTCAGAACATTTTAGTAAGAATAATGCAACATCATAGGAAATCCAACAGAGTCTTAGTAGTTTGTACACAAACCTATGTTCCAGAAGCAATCATCAACTCTGACAGATTGATATAGTTCCCCCTGTAAACATGATCATATGGATTAAATGAAGGTGTAAATTAAAAGGAACTATTTTAAAACTCTTAGATAATACTCCAGGATGCATTAATTTTTTAGAAAACAATTGCAGCTCACATTAATTACAGGAGGCTGTCCTTTTAGCCCGACTTTCAGATTATTTTTCTACAACTCATATGCTACAAATCTTGATTTGGTTTCAGGAGGGACTGGAATATTAATAGTGACTTCTTGAAGTGTTTGCGTCCAAGAGTATTTCTCCAGATCCAAACCATTTCCAGCATTAGGCACTACATGAAAAGAAAATGATATGTTATAATCATGTAAACTTTGCAAAAAACAACACACATGTTGAACATTCTGTAAAACATCGAGAAAATAATACCTTTTCACTTGCCAATAACTATAACCCAATCCTGCACAAAACCTCTATAATACCCCCTTATCCTCCAACATATATAAAGACAATGAGACAAAACACGGCACATAAAAAAACAACAAATTAACCCAATATGAACATTGTAAGCATTACATAACAAGATGACATGTTATTAAGACAGAGCTCATTGCTTTTGTATTGGATTAAAGGTTGTTTCAATTCCCCAAACAGCATAGTATAAAGTCTGATAGGATGCAAGAGTGACACTTTTTGACGCAGCAGAAACTCTGATAGGATGCAAGGCTCAGAAATTCATGGCTGATATCAAAGAGGCAACTTCTTACTTTTTATATTTTATACATATAAAACAATATGTTTCATGTATAAGATCTTAATTGTTTCCTCATTAAAACAGAAAAATAATCAGAGTTCATTCTTCCAAAAGTTTGTTCTCAACATGGGAAAGACATACAAGTTTCTTGTAAAGTTGGATGAAAAATCAAAGGATGAACATGCACAAGGAAAGATAATAGCACAAGAAATCCAAATCCAAGAAGACATCACAATCCTCAAAGGATGAACATGCACAAGGAAAGATAATAGCACAAGAAATCCAAATCCAAGAAGACATCACAATCAACATTGATGACGACAAGGAAAGATAATAGCACAAGAAATCCAAATCCAAGAAGACATCACAATCAACATTGATGACGATGATTTTGTTCTCAATTTACCAAAAAAGAAGATAAAGGTGGAGAAGGAATGATCAAGGGACCAAAAAAATTAAACGTGAACACTTTTTAATTATCGTTACATTTACAAATTGGTTGAAGGATTTTGAATGAACTTTTCATATGCACATATAGTTGTTTGATAACTGATGAATTTTATTTGTTAGGACAATTTATGATTTATACTTTTCATATGCACATATAGTTGTTTGATAACTGATGAATTTTATTTGTTAGGACAATTTATGATTTATAAACATATGCACATATAGTTGTTTGATAACTATTGCATACTTTGATTGTTATTGCAGTTATTAGCTTAAATTTATCATTAGATTGTGTGAATCTAGATACATATTCAGAGAATAGTTTACTTTATTACTTTAAAATTGCATGTGAACTATTTTTGGCTTATCTATACTGCACGTAAACTATTGTTGATGAGTCCTTTGCAAGAAATCTGATGACCCAGAACAGCTTCCTGAACCTGTTGAGAGGAAACAACAGCTTTCTGCAGAGAGGGTAGCTAATTTTACAAAATAGTTATTCTAATTTATTTCTTTTAGTAGTCCAAATTGAATTGTTTCTGCTTTGTGACATGGACAGGTTCTCAGTATTCTTAAGAAATCTTATTCTGTTCTCTCTCTCGGTGAAAGAAGTAAATGGAAGAGGTACCGGTTGTATGTTATATTTTCAGGTATCCAGCCAGGAGACCAGCCTTCTTGCTAGATGTCCAATAATATATGCTCATGCTCATGATTATCACATTAATTATATTTCAAATAACAGGTTGCTTCATGCATATTGCCTTTCACTATATAGTGTTATATTATTCTTGCTAGATTGTTTTTTATTCATCTAAATCTGTTATAGATTGATCTTATATGGAGTCCTACATTGGGCACTTGTCCAGATCAGTTTATCGTGTCTTACAGTTATGTGTGTATTTTATTATGGTTTAATATGAAACAACTACCATAAATATTTTGCAAATATGGATATATGTCAATAGTGTACATGTGAGGTCCATCACATGACTAAACTTTCTCAGTTTAGATCTATCTGCTTGACACACCTTCTTAAACTGGAATACACTCCCAATTTGCAATATTTCGTACACTTCAAATTAAAACTTTGGGATTAAGTTTCTAAATATGTTTCCTTTTTAGGCGTTGAATCATATTAGACAAATTGCAAAAGAAACCAGTGATGAAATTGCTTATGGTGGTGTAAGACAACCTGCTGTATTGAGGACATTTAGCCAGCGATTGAGCAAGTAAATCCTTGTCACCATTTTTGTGCATAATCATTGTTAAATCCTTTATGTAGTGCTCTTAACTTCAGGCTCACTGAATGACTTCCAGGGGTTTCAATGATGCTGTGAGTGGGTTTACGGATGATGGTTGGTCATTATTGGGCAGTGATGGCGTTGAGGATGTGACAATTATGATAAACTCATCACCAAATAAGCTTTTTGGATCTCATGCCAACTCTTCCATATTTTCTCCCATTGGTGGGGGCATCTTATGTGCAAAGGCCTCTATGCTACTGCAGGTTTCACTCTTACCTTCCGGGTTTATAAGATACCTCTATCTGATATCAATTTAAAGTCAAACTTGAAATACTTTGGGCTGCTAATTTAACTCTGATATCATTCATTGTAGAATGTGCCACCAGCTTTGCTTGTTCGGAAAGCCACCGGCTGTAGAGGGATCCTTTGTCATGGCTTGGTGAGATTGCTTGGTTTATTTCTCATGAAGATGGTAGAGCTATTAAAAAGATCTTGTGTGCTGCCTTTGCTGCTTCTTTGTATCATATTTGGAGAGAACGAAATGCTAGGAGATTTTAGTCTTGTATTAGCAGGGTTAATGTCATTGTGAAGAGGATTAAGGTTGATATTATAGCTAGAATGTTACATAGTAATCAGCCTTCACAGGTCCAGTTTTGGATGGTCAACTTGTAGCTGTTTCTTGCTTTTGTGAGTTGAGTGGATTGCTTGATTCTTTCGTAGAGTATGCTGTATAGCTGGGTATGCCCAGTTTTTGATTGTACATGAACGTTCGCAGGTTAACGAAAGTTTCATTTACCTTTAAAAAAATTGAATCAATTCTTTACAAAAGTAAATTGTCCCATAACTATTCTTTTATTATATTGTAAGTGGGTTAATAGCATTCTGAAGCTCAAATTATTTTTTGTACAGGATTGGGGATGTCGTCAGGATTGTTGGGTTCCTAAACTCGCGCATAAACCACAATTTCTATGCTAGAGAGCCTTCTTCTTAGCACAACATTGATTAGAACACAAACAAAGATCTGAATGCAACTTTACCTTCATTTGTTTCGTAGATGATGTAACATGATTGATTCATTGCAAATTATTGCCCAATACAACATAAAACCTGGAACAATTGAAGAAAATATATATGTATGTAGATATTAGGCTGCATAACAAGTCAACAGAGCTTTAATCGTGAATGGCGCCAGTCAACTAACTCTTTATTGAGCTTGCGTTTTAGGTATGAACCAATTTTCAACATAACAATTTTCAAACAAATTAACATTACTATACATACATTCTAATGCTAAAGATCTGGTTTATTTCTCATGAAGCTGAGAAGGAAGCCCTACACAAAGAAGAGAAATTCGTCAAAAGCCTCAATAAGGAAATGAATGACTTGGCTCAGTTAATTAAATTATACCTCCTTCCCCTCGAGTCACTGGGGGTGGTGGAGATGTAAGGACTGTAGCTGCATCGACTGGTGAAGTTGGTCGCACAGCCGGCTCAACAGGGTCAGCCTCAGCGAAAGCTCCTGTTAGACGCAAAACAGAAACATCATATTATAGTTGCATTAGTCAAGGAATTGGCTAGTCCTATAGTTAGCTTGAGAAGATCTGGTTTATTTCTTTGCCTGAGCCTCATCACAACATCTGCTACTTGCTCAATCTTAATCAATCCAACAAAATATATAGGATTCACATTGACTTGTATTTGGGGAATGATTGTTGCTTGTTCATTACGCTCATCGACAAGATCCTCGACAAATTTATGCAATCTCCTTCCAATGAGATATCAGTTGTTTCTAATGGAGTTGTGAAGATTAGTGAACCAAACACAGAACCTCTTGGCACAAAATAACAAGATGAAGAAAAAGCAACCAAGCCAAGCAAAACGATATAGTGCACAGTTAATGATCAATGGATAGCAAATCAAAGGAAAAAGATCTCTGGCAAATACATATGAAACACAAAGTGCAATTAGAAGCTTCGAGATGAAAAGAAAACCCAAGGTTTTTCAAAAAAAATTAGTGCAAAGACTTAGAAAGACTATAACGTCATAAGCTTGGATTTACATACACATCATCAAAATTAACTTTTAGGTATATTCTTGTTATAGGAGGAGGAAGGAAACTATGGCCAATAGAGACAAGTTACCTCTTGAAGATGTACCTGGAATCACCGAACTAGGTCCTTCATTGGCAGACTCCCCAACATGGGCGGTCTCTGTAGGCTTTTCTACCTGGGGCGGTGAGTCAGGCTCACCAGGAGTATAACGTCATAAGCTTGGATTTACATACACATCATCAAAATTAACTTTTAGGTATATTCTTGTTATAGTATTTGATTGATCAATCACCTTTTACATACAACAACTCTACTATCGCATAATTGATCCCTACATATAAATTTATTGTTAAAACATTTAAAATTATATCAAATAAACTTATACCAAATATTTCCCTAAATATCATTATAATTTAAAATAATATTAAAATTTTTACCAAGTGCATTGCACGTGCAATCCAACTAGTATATATATATATATATATATATATTCATGATGCCCTCGGTTCCATTGACAATTCAATGGGGATATTTTGGCCAGTGAAATGGTGCAGACTTTCGGGAAACCTGCGCGCTAATTAAAAGGGAAAAGAATCCTATAGAAACTCATGTTTATATTAAGAAGCGTGTTAGGTTATATATCTTCATTTTGCTATGCTCCTTTGTGTTCTTCTGAGAGCCCTCTCCACAAGATATTTTTCGCCTAAAAAGGCACAGGTCAAAAATCATCCCGTGGCGGCGCACGATACTAATTTTCAACATCCGCCTCAAGGGCCGCTTGCATGGTCACTGCACTGAAGTCAAACAGTACCCATCTCAACGTACGGACAACTTTTCCGAGTATTTCTCTCCTGCGCATGCAGTTACACGCAGCTGACCGCCCTTCTCACGAGAAATTAATCAGCGCAAACAATTGTCATCTGATTATGAGTTTTGCGTCAGGCCCTTCTGTCCAAACTCCCCCCGCGATTGTTGTTGCATTAACGAGCAAAAATTGACCCGCCTGTCGACGCCGGGGCATTTAATTTACGCGGAGAAACCGAAAAATAATTAGTTAATTTTAAATAAATCCCTCAACTCATTGAATTCGTTATAAGGTCTCAAGATATATATAATTTTTCTTTTCAAATAAAAAACTGATCTGGTTATTACTTCTACTGTTTATTAGAGGAACCCATATCTAAATAATTTAAGAACTAAAGGATCAAATATTAATTTTAATTATTTGAGGGGTCAATTTCTAAATGAGTTACGAATGGGCAGGAGGTGATAGCATTTTTTTCATGATTTATGGGATTGATCTCAAAATATAAGAGTTATAGTTATCAAGCCAATAACTTTAGTATATACAAGCAAAATTGACTCGCACGTTGCTGCGACATTTATGTGATGAAATGAAAAATAGTGGTTAAGTACTTTGCTTACAAAATTGTTTTTTAACTTGTGGATAAAAATATTTTAGGATTTACAATATTGGTAAATTTGTGTGAACGAAAAAAAAAACGGTTTAAGCATTTGGTTAAAAAAATTTAGCTTGTCAAAAATATTTTTTTGTTTTGTGTTATAAATAAATTAGTACAAGAATTTTTTTTAAAAATAATGGTTTAAGCATTAGGATAATTCTAATGCCTTTGGTAGTTGTATTGTAGATAAAGACAAAAAAATAATTTTTTTAAGCATAATAATGTGGAGAAAGCCAAAAAAGAAAAGCTTATTTTTATTTAGAAAAATAAATACTAGCTAAAGTATCCGTATGATACTAATGACTTGGTAATCATTATGTACACAAATTAGTATGGTGAAAAGAAAAAAATAAAAATAAAATAAAGGCTTATTTGATTTAGAAAGAAATATTTTTGAAAATTAGTCCCTCACAACTTCAATAATTTCATATTAGTCCCTCAAATATCAATAATTGCTCTTTAGTCTCTCAAATTCTAAGGAATCTCGTAATTTGGTCCCTTAATGATGAAAATAACTCTTAGTTATGATTTCTTTCTTAAAAATAATTTTGCTCAAAAAAAAATATTATTTTCACTTTGGTAATCTAAAGTTTACACCTTTTAACTTTAATACCAAAGGTTTTTGACAATTAGATACCCTAAAGTTCACACCTTTTTAGTTTTCATACCTCAAAGTTTTTTCTTAACACTTTTGTTAAGACAAAGTTTACATCTTGTTAACTTTGACACACAAAGGTTTTTTTGACACTTCGATACATTAAACTTTTTTCTTAAACTTAGGGTATTAGAGTTTAAAAAATTTTAAAACATTGGGGGTATCAAAGTGAAAAAAAATTAGAATCTATAAGGTATGAAAGTTAAAATTTATACAAACTTTAGGGTAGCAAAGTGTAAAAAAGGTTTGGCGTATCAAAGTAAAAAAGGCGTAATTTTTGGGGTATCACTGGGTCAAATTAATAAACATGTGGATATCAAAGTTTTAAAATAGTGTAAACTTTAGAGTGCCAAATAACAAACAACTCTTTAAAAACATTAGATGATGGTATTTTGGATATTGAGGGGTAAAATTGCAATAAAAACTAAGAGGGTGTTTGGGAGGGCCTATTATTTTGAACCTTATAAGTTAAGTTGGCTTTTAGCTTTTCTGATAAAAATGCTATAAACATTGTTTGGGTAGAATAGTAATTTTTTTTGTCAAACCTAGCTTAGTTAGGTGAGCTTATAAGCTATTTTTTTTTAAAGATGGGGTATACTAGCTTTTCAAAATGAGGCTTATAAGTGAACTTAATTTGTTATTTTACCAAACAAGTAGATATAAAAAAAACTTAACTTAAAAGCTAGTTTGACCAAAAAAAAAAGCTCCCCCAAACACCCTCCTAGGATTTGATGGAGTAATGAGCAATTACTTAGATTGGGATACTAATATGAAATTATTGAAGATTTGAGGGACCAATATCTAAGCAGCGCTATGTAAAAATACCCTCTAAAAATGCTAAATTGCAAATAACCCTTTAAAAATATTAGATGAGGGTATTTTCATCATTGAGGTACCAAATTAGAATTTGATGGACTAATGAGCAATTCTTGAGAAGTGAGGGGCTAATATGCAACTATTGAGAATTTGAAGGACTAATCAGCAATTAGTGAGATTTGAGGGGCTACTATGCAATCATTAACGATTAGAGAGACTAGTACTAAGGGGCTGTTTGGTTCGTTTCCTTGATATAGAGAAATGCAATTCCATGTAAAGAAACATAAGTTTTGAGTTTTCCAAACTTTTCCAAGAAATAAATTGTTTTGCTTTGGTTCGCACATAAAAAATGGTGGGAAACCAATGTATTTATTTTTCTTGTGTTTGGTTCGCACAGAAAAAAAAGAAAAACTTTTGTAAACAAAGCAGAGAAGGAAAAAATCTGACATGGCAAAGTTTTCATCAATTTCACTTGGTTGGGAAAGGAAATCGGAGAGGAAAAAAATATTAGTTGGCGACGATTTCAGCAGAGTTTTCCCTCTTCCATTCGAGCGAACCAAAGCGGCACAAAGAAATGGACGGAAACAAAAAAGCTGACGTGGAGGGCTAAAATTCTGACGTGGAGGGGTTTTCTGAGTTTTTCACCCCTTATAATAGCGAACCAAACAACCCCTAAATAATAACCTTAATTTAAAAAATGGTTGGGTGTGTGTGTGTGTGCAGAGATTCGAATTTACAATAATTGGGAATTACTATTCATTTCTACAGTAGCTACAGTAGTAACCCCAATAACTTTAGCATATATATAAATGTGGTCTCTAAAAAGTCTGACCACAACAACATCCAACATAGGTGCACCCAGCAGTGTTTGACCTTGTGAATTTGGAATGAATGTGTTACCTAAAGTTATAGTTGTGTTAAAATAAAACAAAATGCTACCGTTAGGGTTACAATACGCACACGGTGTAACTAATTTTGTTGCACATACCTGTAAAATATGGTTTTACCCACTCATATTAATAATCTAGACCGTTCATTGTTATCTACATGCCATCAAATACAAGTGAATGGAAAATTATGGTGTTTGAAATTTTCCATACCATAATTCAGGTAAGTCAAAATCAGGGCCGGTCCTACCTTAAGGCAATTAAAACATTTACCTTGGATCTCAGCTTGGGTAGGGCCCACACGGGATTCAACGTCAGGCTCCAGCCATATCCTAATGATGCAAGGATTCATAAAATATAAACAGCTTCCTCTCCAGAGTCGAGAGGATTTTGCGCTTACGGGTCGGGTCGGTTAGGTTGTTAACGCCTACCTAATCCGTTATTAGGGTTCGAAATCGTAATCACACTACTCATTCATCGTACGTTCACGAGTCATTCACAGTGACCTATAAATAATATTTGTAGCCGCTTCTAAATTCCCTATCTATTTCAGAATCTAGGGTTTCTCTGTGAGCAGGCAGCAGTCCTCTCTCAAAGGTGACTCCTTTTCCCCCTTTCTTCGTAATTTCTAGGGTTTGCTTGTTAATCTCTCTCAAGTAATCTAGAACAAATAGCATGATGTCTCGTTTCCTTGATATTTTTAATTTTCCAAGCATCTTTCATGGGTATACTGGATTCGAATATGAGTATGATATGTAGCTATTATCAAAATTGGATGCTTACGGATTTTTTGTGTTAATTGTTTCATACTAGAAGAAGCTGATGCATTTACTTTGGTATTTGAGAATAATTTTTGTTTTAAATGTCGTAGGTGGTATACTCATTAGGTGCTCTAGTTTAAGTTTTCACGGGGAGTTCCATATTTTATGTCAAACTAGATAGGAAGGTCGGACTGAAAGTGTTAAAGCAATAAAATTTTAAGCTCCAAATATAAGAGATTCTTTGATTCAATTAGCAGAAATTAGTGCAGGTCCAAAGATAAAAAGTGAAGCCAATAGCTTAGCAACTTATGAGATCGAAAATTTTGAATTCTTATTAGCAATAAATATTTGGTATGACATATTGTTTGCTGTTAATTCAATTAGTAAAATCTTATAATCTAAAGATATGCATATCGATATTGCCATAGATCAATTAAAGGGTCTTATTGTATATTTAGAAAACTATAGATAAAATGATTTTATGTCTGCTTTTAATTCAACTAAAGAACTTGCTAATGAAATGAACATACAACCTATATTTCGTGAAAAACGTAAAATTCATAGAAAAAAATAATTTGATGAAAATATTGGTAATGAAACAATATTTAACGTTGAAGAATCTTTTTGTATTGAATATTTTTTATACATAGTTGATAAATCACTTGGCTCAATTAAAAGTAGGTTTGAACAATTTAAAACGTATGAATTTTTTTGGTTTTTTTGTTTGATTTAAAAAAATTAAAAGCTTTAGATGATATTAAATTGAAAGAATATTGTCTTAATCTCGAAAATGCACTAAAACATGATGAACATTTAGATATTAATAGACTTGATTTGTTTTTAGAATTGAGAGTGCTTAGGGAAATTTTAAAAGTAGAGATTAATAGTCCAATTGAAGTGTTGAACTATATAAAGTGGTTAGATTCTTTTCTAAATACTTGTATTACTTATCGTGTATTATTGACTATACCCGTAACAGTTGCTTCCGCTGAAAGAAGTTTTTTAAAATTAAAATTACTAAAATCTTATATAAGATCGACCATATTACATGGTAGATTGAAAGGTTTAGCAATATTATCTATCAAAAATAATATGTTAGAAAATATTGAATATAAAACTTTAATTAGTAATTTTGCAGCTCAAAATGTAAGAAGGATGAGATAAAATCTATTTTGAGTTGTATTTCTTAGCTAGGCATCATCTAATATTTCGCCTTGGGCCCCAAAATTCCTAGGTACGGCCCTGGTCAAAATAACCAAAATATGAGACAGTTGTGGTCATTTTCAGGTCATTAGATGAATAAAATAGAATTTTTTTGAATCTATGGGGTTTTTGGTCTCCGTATAGTTTTAGGTGCGTAGATCGCAAGGAACGATGTTAATCATTAATATTAATGGTGAAATGCGTATCTTTACAAGTGTGTAAGTGAGTTAGTCACACTTTGTGTGCATTGTAGCCTTTAGTGAACTACTATATATCTATTTGATATGCCAAAGCATTTTCGTAAATCCAAAAACCCATTCATATTTTTTGTATTATGCAAATCCTAAAATTAATTTCAAATTTTAAAGATTGTAGGATTTCCATTTATAATATAATATACGCAGTTCAGATACATAAATATATATATGTTAAAGAGAGGTTTTTCGTGCGCATGTGAAAAGATTGAATGCGGAGAGCGTCCATCATTATATATATGGGGTTTTTGGTCTCCGTATAGTTTCAGATACATAAATGCGGCCCTTGTTTTATCTCCAGATGGATTGTATTCAAAAACAATGCGGCTTGTGTGCAGCCCGACCCGACCCGACCCGATCCGGTGGAAAGAGTTTAGATAAGATTATTGGGAGAAAGTCTTCGTCAGAGTTAAAACAAATAAATAAATAAATAAATAAATATGCACCTAATGAGAATGGAGGGAGGACGACGCAGGTAGGAGTGAATAAATTATTTAATTAATTAAAGTGAGACGAATCTACCGCGTAGACCCACAGCAAGGGTGGGGGGGGGGGGGGGGGGAGCAGCTGCTGCTGGCTTTTGTTTGCGTTTGGTTTTTGGTTTTGGTTGGGTGCAAAAGAAGAGGGAAGGAGGAGGAGGAGGAGGGAGGAGGAGTGGTAATCAATAAATAACATCTCAAGATAATAAAATGGGGAATTGCATGGCCCACCGCAAGCATCCGACAGCCTTCTTGCCTCAGGATCCACCGCCAGCCGCCTACTTCGAACTTCAGGTTCCCATTTTAATTAGGGCTAGGCTCTCCTCTTTTCCTGCTGCCGGGTGGCCTAAGTCTCCCCCTCTTACATTATCCTACAATATATTGATTTCCAAAATCATCCCTCTGGTGCGGGCTTACCGACGCTTTATTTTCTTTGGCCTCTGCTGAAGTTTATATTAATTTGTTAGGTTTTGAGAACATAATCCAGTGAACTCAGAGCGTAAACACAAAGCCTATATTCAAAGTAGATATGCTTTTAATCGATAACAGTCGGGTTGTTAGTGTTTTTTTTTATATTCTAAAAAAAATAGTTGCAGGCAGATGGAAAACGCGGCACGGCGCGGCGGCGGCGGCAACCAGGGCAGAGCAGGCTCAGGAGGACTACGCCAAGGTTGTGGCGACCGTGTCATGGCAGCTCCAAGGAATGTGAGAAGGACCTGCGGCGGCAGACGGTGGGTAGCAGAGATGTAATTCACATTCACACATGGTGAATTGAGAGCAGCCACCAAGAACTTTCGTCCCGACCAGATTCTTGGAGAGGGAGGGTTCGGAATCGTCTACAAAGGTGTTATAGATGAAACCGTCAGGCCAGGTTTCAGTTCCTCTCTGGTCGCTGTCAAAGCGTTGAACCCTGATGGCTTACAGGGGGATAGGGAGTGGTTGGTAATTGTCTTCTTCTTCCATTCTCTTCGTCTACATCGTATATATAGGCATGCACGCGTAATCACTATAACAGTTGCCTTCACACTTAAATCTCCTTGATCAGACACCTGTGGTGATGCTTTAGTAACTGTTTTATTTACCAATTACATCAAAGTTTCACTCTTTTTGGTGAGGAGATTACCATGGGCGAGTGACCATTGAAGATTTCCGAAAAAGGGAAGCTTCTTGAAAATTTATGACGCCAGCATGAGCTGCATGGAACTTTATTTAGTTAAGGAGCCGTATGGAGCTTGTGTGGGTTTGATCTTCTATGACTTTGTCTTGTAGGTGTCCCGGCCTGGAGTTTCTATATTAAACTTGACAACCCAAAGGGTCCTTTTTGAGGAATCAACCTAAAAAAATCATGTTAATCCCAAAAAAACTCTTCCTCCTAAAAATATTCACTCGCAGATGGATCCACTTTAAGTTCTTGGGACAAACAAACCGAGGCATTGTACTTTCACCTTGGAACTTTTCCTGGTGTGCACAGTAGGAGAAATAGCAGGTCAGATACAACTGTTTTCCATTTTCAGATAACCTTTAGAAATAAAAAGGTGTGTGGTAGTCAATAGCATGCCAAATATTTTGTACAGGAAGTGAAGGACCTAGTAGGCTTTCTAGTGCTAGATTACCATGAAGCAAACATATGTCACAATTCCTCGATGTTTGAACAAATAATTAACGTTTTCTTTTTCCTTACTTCATGCAGACTGAAGTGAACTATCTTGGGCAGCTTAGCCATCCAAACCTTGTCAAACTTATTGGCTACTGTTGTGAGGATATGCACAGGCTACTGGTCTATGAATACATGGCATGTGGAAGCCTCGAAAAGCACCTGTTCCGACGTATGTATGGTGAAATGCTTATGTATACTATACTTCACCGCCATTGTTGATGGTCTTTCTTAGTTTAGTCACATATTAGGACGCAAAGTTCATAAAATGAAGTTTAGCTATCATGATGGTACTGCTATAGTCTTTAATTGTACAACCTGTCAAATCTTGGATGGTTACGATACCAAAGCAAGACATTACTGATTAAATTATACAACAACAAAGCCTTTATCCCAAAATTTTTAGGGGTTCCTAATTAAATTATAATCGATAATTTACTAAAAAAAACAAAGGTTATATCCTTGAAACCAAGGGCACATAGCATGGGTGTGCATTGGCATAGGAGAGAATTAAGTAAAGAGAACCTTCAGGAGCAATTAGTAAGTCCAATCAAAGAGAACTGTGTTTAGGACTTAAGATTATCGTATCTGATAATTCAATCCTTTATTCCAATTCCTTGTAAGATGTCGAAGATTCCATTTATAGAACTTGGACTATCAAATGGATACAAAGCTTAGGCTATGAAGCGCTCAATGTGGATTAGAGTTATTTTGATCATCCATTGCCCTCCCTCCAAATGCTCTTTAACGATAGCCACCACATTTATGCCACCATGTGTGATCTTGCTTTAGGTTACAATTATTGAAGATGTAATCCATGATTGCATGCCTTGTACCATATTGTACTTCAATTCAAAACCTCAAGCGTGAAGCATAGAGTACTGAGAGCCCAATATATCTAATCATGGTGGTAGAAGAGATGGCTATTAGGTTCCTTAATGAAATAGGAAAGAACACTTGATGCCCCCTAAAATATTTCCAACTTTGATCGTGAGGCCCCTTCCTTTTTGAGATTCAGAAGGTAGTTTGCCACCAAGAAATTCTTTAGGTACCAATTTTTAGAACCAAATGATACTTTTTTAAAGCAAATTTTGGTTGTGGATTAATGACAGAAATTAATGACTAGGAAGAAAATTTTCGAAAGTGGGCAGCCTCCAAGTCTTAGCCATGTTTGACCGGTTGTCATCGGATAAACTGATCAAAGATCATGACTTGTCCGCAGTTCCTGTGTCTACTTATCCACATTCTTGCCAATATAGAAGCTTTTAAGAAAGTTCTACTGCTGGGGCTTTCGTACATATTTGAAAGAAGCTGAATTTCTTAGGTTGTTTGGCTTATGTATGTACTTTTGGGGTATGAGGATTATGTTAGCCTCACCGAAAGAAATTTTAGATGCATTCAATTATTAAGAACACTTGTCAAATGTAAAAGAGCATTCATATGGATAGGCTACCAAGTGTTGAACTCATAAGTTCAAATATCCCAACTTAGGTTGTCAAGTTTCAGCTTCAACCTATGAAACTGATATGACATTGTTGAGCTTGTGTTTGCTAAAGCATATAATTTTAGTAACGAATTCTCATATAGCGTGATATTGTAGTTAGTAAGCTATGGGAGAAAGTTTGGGAACTGAAAACCAACAATTATAAACAAAACTAAATGTAAAAGATTGATATGAAAGTAAGAGATTCTCTACCTAGGTAGCATGGACATAGATACGGACACGGGACAATGGCAAATTTGTAAAATGTAGGATAAGGGGACACAGATACACACACATACAATTATACATACATGATCAAATATTGAATGAAAATACCAATAACATTTGTATGTTTCTTTTTATTATCTATGACAAGTTTAGTGTTGATTGCATGGGATAATACAGTAGGTGTTTATTTAAATAAGGAGTTTTAATTTTTGGGTTAAAAAACTAATTGGTTTTGAACCTGATATTATAGGAGAGACTAGTTTAAGGTATAAGTAATAGGGAAATCAGATTTTTCTTTGAACCACGTGTCCATGGTGTGTCCGCTAAGAGTCTGTGACCGACACGTGTCAGACACGGACACGCCTCCGTGTTACCTAGTTCTCTACCCATCCATGCTCAGCAAATATTTCAAACAGTTTTTTTTCTGCTCTGATAAACCGCTATAACAACCCCCTTTCTACTTTGTCAACAGGGTTATGTCTTACAATGCCGTGGTCTACTCGAATAAAGATTGCCTTAGGTGCTGCAAAAGGGCTTGCCTTCCTTCATGGTGCCAGAAGACCTATTATCTATCGTGACTTCAAGACATCCAATATATTGCTTGATGCTGTTTGTATTTATCCTTGACCATACCGTTATCGTTCTGTGCTTTTTTAAATTTTTTGCTTGGATTTACTTGATAGGAATTCTCCTGATCATCAAGTTGTGAATTTTTGAAGTCTTTCTGATGCAGGACAGGACAAGGGAAAACACTAATGCCAAATTAATCAAGCAATCACACGGGATCCTAAATATGGGTTCATTCCAATTATATGCATGCAATGATCATTTAAACAAGATCCACATATAGAAAACAGTAACCAATGATATTCGTAAATCGACTACATGTTCTATAGTGTTGCAGGAACAAGGTTTGAATGTGCGATTCTGATTAGAGATCACCTGCGTATGATTTGGTGTGAGTTCCTTACACCCTCAGGTGATCTCTAATCAGAATCGCACATTCAAACCTTGTTCCTGCAACACTATAGAACTTGTAATCAAAGATTGCCTTAGGTGCTGCAAAAGGGCTTGCCTTCCTTCATGGTGCCAGAAGACCTATTATCTATCGTGACTTCAAGACATCCAATATATTGCTTGATGCTGTTTGTATTTATCCTTGACCATACCGTTATCGTTCTGTGCTTTTTTAAATTTTTTGCTTGGATTTACTTGATAGGAATTCTCCTGATCATCAAGTTGTGAATTTTTGAAGTCTTTCTGATGCAGGACAGGACAAGGGAAAACACTAATGCCAAATTAATCAAGCAATCACACGGGATCCTAAATATGGGTTCATTCCAATTATATGCATGCAATGATCATTTAAACAAGATCCACATATAGAAAACAATAAGCAATGATATTCATAAATTGATTACAAGTTCTATAGTGTTGCAGGAACAAGGTTTGAATGTGCGATTCTGATTAGAGATCACCTGAGGGTGTAAGGAACTCACACCAAATCATACGCAGGTGATCTCTAATCAGAATCGCACATTCAAACCTTGTTCCTGCAACACTATAGAACTTGTAATCAATTTATGAATATCATTGCTTATTGTTTTCTATATGTGGATCTTGTTTAAATGATCGTTGCATGCATATAATTGGATTGCACCCATATTTAGGATCCTGTTAGACTTTTGCATACATGGCTAGTTGCATGCACTTAGTTGTTTTCTAGGTTACCATCTGTTTTGTTCTTTCTCACATGGACTTTCCAAGGATTCCCATCACCTTCATAGCCCTATATGTAATTCATTATGCGTTTTACATAAAACAGGATTACAATGCAAAGCTGTCAGACTTTGGGCTGGCAAAGGAAGGACCTATGGGAGATGAAACACATGTTTCTACTCGGGTGATGGGCACCTATGGCTATGCAGCTCCTGAGTACGTAATGACTGGTGAGTCTTTGTCGCTGTTTGGAAGAGTATTACAATCATGTTTTTTCTTTCTTTGTTTCCTTTTCCCCCCTTTTTGCGAGAATACAGTCACTTATTTTCTTCCCTTCTATTTTTTAGGTTTGATCATATTTAGCCCATATTTTGAATGTTATTGCACTCGAATTAATTGCATCTGAGGTGTTAATATTTTATTTTTTTGTTTAGACAAGCTCGTAATAACAGTCATGGTGTCATGCTAGAATATATGACTTCAGTATTATAATTTTTAGCCGTATATATTTGAAATAGCTTTACTCGAGTTAATTTGTTTGAAACAAACAGGCTTCAATAGTTTCTTCCTTTCTATTTTGATCCAAAGGTGATGTGTTTTGTTTTACAAACTCTAAATATTAATCCTGTATTGTCTATTGAGTTAATACTGTCTTGACTACATCCTATATGCACAATTAATCTGGGAAACAAGAAAATGTTTGTTCCCTTTTTCTCATAGCACCTGCTACTTAATCTTAAATCTATGTACCTCACCACCAACACCTTAAAACTTGGACAATCAGCAGCGGTTTGTTCTTAGACTAATCTGTGTGATTCAAATAATATATACGGAACAGGTCATTTAACCGCCAAAAGTGATGTGTATGGTTTCGGAGTTGTGCTTCTTGAGATGCTGATTGGAAGGAGAGCAATGGACAAGAGCAGGCCAAGCCGAGAGCACAACCTGGTAGAGTGGGCTCGCCCACTCCTCATCCACAACAAGAAGTTGCTGAAGATAACAGATCCAAGAATGGAAGGTCAGTATACGGTTAAAACCTTACAGAAGGTGGCTAACATAGCATACCAATGCCTTAGCCAGAATCCAAAAGGGAGACCAGCCATGAGCCAGGTAGTCGAGACCCTGGAAAGCCTCCAGGACCTGCCTGAGACCACACAAGATTTGCAGCTGCAGGGCAGTGAGACTGCTGTCACCCTCTATGAGGTTCCTAAAGAAACAGGTGCCATTGTCAATGGGCATAAACCCAATGGTGCACGAGAAGAGGGTAATAAAAACTCAAGCACGACAAGAGAAAGCAGAAATGGAGGAAGGAGAAGTAGGACGAGGCCAGCAAATGGAAGAAGTAAGAGTGAACCCCCTAAGGAACTACAGTTATTCATCCCGTCGCCAGATTCTGATGGCCCTTCCCCACCTTCTACTTGTAAGGCAAATGCAAAGCCATTAATTGATGAGATTGATATGCATAATAACTCCAATAATATTTGACAGATACTGTCGAGGCGGTCTGTTGAAGATGCCTTCAGTACTTCTTAATATATAAAGTGTTTAAAATTCACAACCACGATCTGGACACTGTACCATGCGTCGTCAAGATAACCAGTAATTTATTTTCCCAAGGAACATAAATAATATCAATAGATCCTGTGGAGGATTCAAAGTTGAATGCAGAAATGCTATAAAACATATAACTCTGCGCGAAAAGGAGCCTCTCTAGTTTTGAGAAATAGCAACTGTTATGATGATGATGATGATGATCCGTAGGAAAGAGAGATGTTGTCACTGATTTTACTTGTATTATTTATGTATTTTCCTACCCTTTTGTGCTACACACAGAAGAAAGATTTAGGCGATAGCATTAGCAATAACAGACCCCTACCTCTAGCACCAGTCAAACAACTGTTAATTTGGATTCCATACTTGCCAACTTAAGGTGCAAATATTATAAGGGGGCATTAATCAATTATCTAAATGCAGCTAAGCGAGATGTTTCCATTTTCTCACTAGAGTGAACATTCAACACGAGAATTCCACAAATTGTCGCAAATCAACTAGACTCATCCAAAGGGAATTCATAAAGAGGAAACGGAATGAGCAATTCATCAGCCTTTACATAGAAAATATAATTCAGTACAGCTTGGAGAGCAAAACAGAACATGCAGCTCCAGCATCCACCTTAAGAACATCATGCTTCTTTTTACCATACCATATTCTAACTTGTGCAGTCTTAAGCATCAAAATCCAAGCAAAACTGACATCTTACATCAGTGCACACCAACAGGAAAAGACAATGATGTTAGCATGCTAGTCTTCTGCGCTGTTACCATGTATTGCTAGAACCACCCAGATGAAAACCCATGTGTTTCTTCTTGTCAGAAGTCGAAGGAAAAACTACAAACTAGCTACATGGCAACGATCAACTCCTAGTAGCAGGTACCAAACTTTTGCTTCCTTGGGATCTTCTGGGTACAACAAGCATTTTCCTAAAAGAGAACAAGTAGGAAACTTCAGTTGAAGTAGCAAATTCAGATCTGTCAAGAGTTATCTGCATCTACAGGTATCTAGACAGACAAAATATTGTCCTTTCTATATTACTTAGAAATAACTAAAGCTATAACATGCCATGAATACAGGAATGTACGACTTAGTGTATTTTTAATATAACATTGACTGTGAAGGAATGAGTAGAAATTTATACTTCGTTGAGGTTGATGTTAGAAAGAAAACAACAGGAGTAAAATTGATGTAGAAAATCAGTAACAGAAACAAAATCCTGGAGCATTAGCATTACTTCATGGTACATTGATAATCTCTGTTTGCAGCATTAGCATGACGTTATGGTACATTGTTATCTCTCTTTGCTGACGTGTGACACTTGCATAACCTTACAAGTGTTTGGTATCTTGGCATGTTCTCTGCAGCATTTTGCTTTAAGATATACGTTTGATTAACTTGAGTTGTGAATCTTTGGATGAAACCCATGGTGGTTTTTGTGTGAGTGTGTAGACAAGAGTAGAAAATTCAAAAACATCATACCCAAAAAACAGTATACAACTAAAACAAATCCTCTACCTGTAGATCATTCAGCCCAATAGTGGGCAATGCTCCTGCTAAATTAGCAACCATTGTACTTTAATTAATAAATCTTATCTGAAAAATTACACGTATTCAATCACATAATATATCCA